TCACAACGAATGAATGGATAATACGGTCAATAAAACAGTTTTTATTTCTCGCATCTTCAATGGACGAATAAACTGGCATGAATTAGTGTGTCGACAGATCTTTTCAATGCTTTAATGGCAAAAAATTCAAAAAATAGAACAAAATAATAACTGCTTATTGCAGCAAAAGAATGGAGGATACAGTGAATAAAACAGTTGACCGCACGGAAAAAATCTATGATCAGCTTAGATATCTTGCATTTCTTAGTTCCATACTTGTTTCACATCATCTACGGATAAAAAATCAGAATAACAAAGAGGACCATAGCATTTGACATTTTAAATTTTGTCTAGAATTTGGATATAGCAACGATCGCTACTGCTGCAAATGCTATATTCCTTGCCGTTAGCAAGTCTCTCTCCATGACGTATTTCTGATTTTGCACTGTCCCTCAATTTGTCCCTAGAAATTGAACCGTTCCTGCTAAAGAAGTTCAGAACACATTTCCATTCACTGACTACCCCGTTTTATCATGCCAAGCTCAGCGATGGTCCTCAGTTCTTGCCACAGTTTCTCCAGATAACTAATTGTCAGCAACTGCTAATTCTTGATAAGTTTGTGACATGGTACATTATTTTTTGTAGCCAGCATTGTTAAAAGCTCCCCAGTTATGCTTCAAGACGTTTCGGGATAATATTTGTTATCTAATTGTACATGAGAACAGCAAATACAGCTGTTTTCAAACTCACGGTCTTCAGAACAATTTTTGTAGCTCGCTTTTCTATATTTCATGCAGCTTCCTGAAATGAGCTTATGCCAGCCAGCCGTGTTGGTTTATTATAGGATTAATACGTCAGTCGTTTGCAGCGACTGTTCAGAGATTCTCGAAACCATACATTTAATCTCTCGCTACACCACTACCCATAAGATCGTTCAGTTTTTGCTCTATTAATACATATCATACAATGCGGCAAACTATTTGGCGCGGAATTTCTTGTCCGATTGAAATATGATATAACAAATCCACCATAGGTGCTAAGTCTGTCAAAGTCAACTGGGCAACCATCAAAGTCTGTCATGAACCTCGAAACTGCCTGCTAACAAAGCAGGGACAACCGCGAGTCGACAGATTCTCTCCTGCTAGCAGGGCCAACCTCTCTAAGACAGGGCCACTCTGAATACTACAGATCTGGACCGAAGAACTCTTACACTCCTCTCGATTTATCCGCACTGGAGAACCTAATAAATCTTCATGTAACATAACTAGTGGCAAGTGGATGACGCTTGAATTTGATTTCAAACTGTAGCAATAACTTACCGGCATGTTTGCTAGAGATATTTGTCAAAGACTGCACAAAGAGCTTGCATATGACAGCGCAGCCTCTGGTGAGTCCATCGCGACAAGGTTAAATTTGAAAACCCCATTCACTGCACTTGTTCTGGGGCAGTTCCTTCCTCAGAAAAATAGTTATTTTACCGCAGTACCGACCGAGTTTCGAATGAAAGATCGATTCAATTTATAGGCGAGTGCGTTAGCCACTGACTGAACTGTCAGCTTGCAGTTATTTACTTAGGCACCATGCAAGTAGGTACACTTAAATTGGTGCCATCCATTCTGATTTTCAATTTTTGGCGAGATGAATATCAGTAAATGAAGAGAATATTAACTGTTATGCTGAGAAATTTGTGCGATGATGCTTTGCAGAGCTGAGTTGAATTGAACCATTACATCAGCAACAAAATGTGTCACATCATTTCGATGGAGCAGTACCACAGCTCTTGTATCAGATGCATTCTCCATGGGTTTCTTGCATTTCCAAAAACTGTTAATACAGAACGGCAGCTCTCTATCCGGCATTTACAGCTGTTTCTTCACTCACGCTAGGCTTTCCAAACGAAACATTCACGGTTTTAATCATTCTATTCATTGCCACAGTCGTTCGTTCTGCGTGCACATCCTGACAGATAAAAAATAAGGGAGGTTCATTCACAATGGGCAAAAAGACTGTCGATATTGTTTAAGATTGGCTAATTTGCGTTTAATAGTCATATTCTTCATCTTCATCTTCCAAGATTAGTCATATTTTTGCATATAAATGTGCATAGTAAAGAGTCCTTAATGTCGATTTTAAAGCATGTAGTTAGCAGTTTTTATGAGAAACAACTGAGATAATGAAAATCGCCTGTCCAGAAGAATTCAGAATAATAAGCGATGCTTTTAGCTGATAAGAGCAAATTTGCTGCTCAGCACTATCTTTTGCCATTTTCGAACAGAACAGAACATCAGCTGAGGCAACTGGTGACATAACATTTAATGGGGTAGTCAATTTTCCCGACTGCTGTAAAATCTTCCAGAAAGCATGCCGATATAACTTTTCGCCAGGTAGGCCCAACTGACTGCAAATTTCGCTACGGTTGGCTTTGGCATTCAATCTGCGGTTGGTGCTGAACATGAAACTACTGAAATCATTTAACTACACTCTCAGCCTTGGATACCTCCTGACTGATGATAACGTTAGCCTGCAAATCAAGTGAGAAGAGATCGTTAGGGCAATGAGGCCAAAACCAATTTATATAATCTTTCAAAACAATGCAATAGCTTGAATATTTCTCATTATCAGTTGTTCATTAATAATTTAAAAGATTTCATATGGCAGTAACACGGCGGCATGTTGTTCATACCCAGAGCAAATGGCCCCATTAAATATAAGCATTCGGGCAGAAGTTTCTACAATCAGTCACCATAACCATTTGTTTAATACATCTGAAGCAAGCATTTCGATTAAGATTTTCCCTAAGAAGAATATAAACTTTAGTCTGAATTTAAAGAACGAAATTAAAGAGGAGTTTGAAGCAACAGCTATAAATTGCGCCGTAAGACTGCGTGTTAGCGTCGCCTAGGCTTTGTGAGAGACTGCAGAGCCTACACTTACGACTTGACGGCAGTCATATTCATTAGTGTTATCTGGACAATTTTTCTCCCTTGTATTAAATATATGTTCGTACATAATTACGCTTCAACCTGAAGGACGCCTTTCTACGATTGCTGTTGGCATCAAAGGCAAAATGTTTCTGGTTGAATTTCCATTTAATTGGAATATTGAGGAATATTGAACATCTGGTAATAAGTTTGTCAAACTAACAAATCTTTCACCCCTGCATGACGTTTGTAATTTTTGTGCTGATAGCACCTCTTGATTCATAGCTAGAGGATACAACGAATTTTTAGGAGACTGCGTAAATAACACTTCGAAAAGAGTTTAGGTTGCGGTCAAGGCTTTTCGCTTTCACTTCCTTTAAGTTGCACAAAAAATGGGAAGATCTCTGTGATGACAAGATATTCAGTTTCGTTGTCAGACAAAACTGGCTTACGGACATCAAATTTTTATTTGGCTTCAAAACACTGCCGCTGCCAGATCCATTTTCCTGATCAACTTGAAGTTGTAGCGCCAGCCGTTGGTAACGGATGAACCTAAATGCTTACAGCGGTCTGTTTGGGAAAATGAATTTCATAATACGTAATATCGGTTACTGCCATTCGTTTCTACCTTCTCATAAATTCCATTTTCATCCACCTTGGGCTATAGACAAACTCTTTCCTAAGTTATTTCACTTGGAGTTGTCAACGAGGTCATACTCCACCTCGAGCCGTAACTTTATATCACGCCGCAATTGTCGCTATTGTTTTGAAAGCTGCTACGGTTGGTTTGCTCTGTAAGTCCGAATTAATACTGACTGAGTGCCCAAAGGTCAGAAACATTTGCACACAATCCATTATTCGAAAGTAAATTGTCCCCTCCTATCCCCACTATACCCGGTGAAACACTTTGAAGCAGCGACGATGACAACTGAAGCGCATAAGGAAGATTTATGATTGATTGAATTTAATTTATTCCAGTATAATCGTCTTTTCGAAGAAGCCCTTTCCATTTTCATTTTAATACCGATGATGTCCTTTTTGACCTTCATTCAAAACGTTAGAACTGCTAAATCATAGTGAAACTGTGATCTGTTCATTTCATAAGCCTCTGGAGACAAGGATTATGTAAATCTCTAAAAGCAACGCATCTGAGTTATTTTATCTCGTTTCTATTTTTTCTTAAATTAGCTTGGCTCATGTAAGCTTTACTACCCTGTTAATTTTCGTTCCCAGCTCATTTTTCTGAAAGTTCGAAACCATGCAATCATAATTATCTCATAATTTTGTCAAGTAATGCAATGCAATGCGCATCTTTTATTGTTTGTCTTTTCCGAAAGTTTCCATATTCAGTGATAAAACTTAGTTCTCTCATCTTTATTTTCCCAGGAATTCAAGTCGATTTCTTATTTAGGTAATTTAGTAATATTGACACTAAATTTATTTTCAAAGGTATAATTGTTTTCCTAAAAGTGTCCCTGGCTGTCCTAATCCTGTCATCCGTGATTAGCTATCGGAAGACCGCCTGATGAGGATTTATGCACTTTTATTCGAAATATCAAAATAAAATTCAGTTCATCCGGACATGTTCGAAAAATTTTAATAACCTTTCACATCTCAGATGACAATTTCTGCATATCGTTCTATCAAAAGTATTTGAGAATGAAACTTAAATTTAAATTTAATAATTTGCATGCTCATATAATCTGCTGCCATAAACTTGTTGAACCAGCACTATTTTCGCACAGTTTCACTCTGTGTTTGGTGAGTAATGTTAAAATGTACAAATTTATTAGTAAGTTAATTTCAATGACAGTAGGTAATATGAGGTGAGAACTACATGAGAATGAATTCACATTCGTGAGCTAAGTGATTTCAGCATCCTTTAAAGAGCAGGGATTTTTGTATCAGGTGATAGATGTTAGAATGCCTTTATGTGGAATTTCAGGTCACTCATGCTGGTAAATATTTTCAAAGGTTTTACTTGAATTTAAAATAAAATTACGATCCAAATTTATTTAAGGAATTCACTTTGGCAACATTTCTGAACCTCGGAGCTTATGAAAAAAACATAATTCAATCCCCTAAATATGGCAGTTATACATGCAAGCATACGAACGAAGATTATGTTTCTGAAAGTTCGCATGCTCATGTAATTGTTGAAATATAAGAGGTGAGAGTTTTAAACTGGAGAATGTAACTCTGGTCATTTTGTTGTGGTTGTCAACGTCATAGATGCAGACAAAGGTCCAGTAGCAAAATTTACCGGTAATATTGAATCGTCAAACATTCCTTATCGCAAGCATTGTTGCCTCAAAGACATGTTTTCATATTTTGAGTAGTCGTTCAACGTACAGGCAGCTTCTGTGCGGTTCTGGTGCAGCACAAGCATAGTGTTTCAAAGGCCGCATGCACGCCTAAGGCACGTGCCTATCAGTTCAGAGTATAAAAGTTTTCAAATGGATATTCTGACCTATAGATATACGAGTTACGGAGCTCTTTAACGATGTGTTAGTAGGCACGTAAGGCTTACGCCCACTGATTATATGTGAATAAAATAGGAAATTAATGAAAGGGCAGCTGATCACATGAGTGATTGTGATGCCATAATCCAAAAGAGAATTCGTATAGTTGAACTGCCATTAGTGATACGATATTTTCCCTGCAAAATTGACAATTCACCTAAATCTTAATACTCCAATGCACACAAACAACCAAATGCGGTAGCAAAGAATGATGTGTGCTAAACAGCTTGCGAACCCTGCGTAAAGATGAATATACAGTGATAGTCAATACGACATCTTTGCCAATTAACACCACCTAAACGAGCCAATCAGTGATTTAATTTTAGCTGGGGCATATTGACGCGTGAATTTCGAAACATGCACTCTAATGGTTTCAAGTTCCAAAACAGTTTCTGATCTGTCAGATTAATTTTTGCACTGCCAAGTTGACTAACGTAAAAATATTTTGAGTCCTTACTTCGGATCAGCATGGCAATGTCGAAAATGATCTTTGATGAAAGGCTGTTTTTTAGGACATCTGAAGGTTGTCATCAAAACGCGGCCAGCAATCCGAGCAAGCGACATCGAGAACGGCTGAATGTAGAGTTGGACGCTTTGGCTTCGATGTTACCGTTCGAGGATGCCATCATTGCCCGTTTGGACAAGATATCAATTTTACGCCTAGCAGTTTGCTTTCTTCAGGCAAAGAACGTTTTCCAGTGTAAGTATTTAGCAGTTCCAGCGACGTTTGCCAGCACAATAGTAAGTTGGCTTTTCAACTTTTACAATCGAACTGAGTTCAGTACTGCAATTCTCAGTTCATAAGTTCATATCCTAAAGGTTTGCGTGACAGTGATACAAGGAATGTAAAGGGTAACCGACTGATAAAACATGCATTTATACGCTTTCACTATAGAGAGCGAAAGAATCTACAATTTCTTGGATAAAATGGCTGAGAAAGCCAGAATTTTCTGATTCTTGTCATGAAAAACTCGCAAGCGTTCATTTAATTCACAACTACATTTTAAAGCAAGTCGATTGCCTTCAAGTTTGCCGCCTTCAAGGTAAAATCCAGGAGTCAGGTAAGTGTCAGAAACGACATGTATGTTGTCTTGTCGAACACAATTCCTCGATTTTATCACCTGACTGAAGCGAAGCGCAAACAGCAAGATGTTAAATGTTATTCTTATTTTTTCATAGTAAAATGAGGATGGTGAAATAGTCATATCAGAGAGTATAGGATAGTTATAAATGTGGTACGCATGCAAAGCACGTATTGTGCCCATGCGGTAAATATTTGTTAGGCTCATTTTAATTTTGGTCGACCTATAGTTGCAGAACACCGTGTAAAAAATTAGCGAAGTTTCGCAACTACGGAACATTTACCTTACGATGTTATACTCCTCCAAGTTCCGTAAAGCACTGCGGAAGCTAAGAGAACTTTTTGTTGAGTTGAAAATTTTAGGAAAATTGATTGTGCCATCTTTACCCTAGATTGGCGACAATGATATATTGTTCATGGCTCATCCTTGTTATTTTAATATTCCGGACATTAGTTTTCAAAAGTTGCATGTCTGTTTGTCAAAAAGTGAGTTTCAGGGACAAAAAAGTTAAAAACCATAAACTTCAACTTAGTGCAAATGACGCAACATTTTACAAAGCGCTGTTTATGGTCAGAGATGAATACGGTAATTTTAAAACCTTCTGCCTGAATTTTTAGTAAAAACCTGTTTTTCAAAGCACATTTCTTAACGCTGAAAAATCTGCCTGTCTTTTCTACGACTGAATTGTAAATCGACCTTTTCAGAGTTCCCGACAAACCTCTAGAGTTATACCCGTAGTCAAGTAGGACGTGGTCCATCATAATTTGCTCTGGCATACAATTTCACACTTCGGTTGTTGACCACCCTCCGCTATCATTGACGTAGGATTTGATTTAATGAGAGCCTTGAGGTTGGAAAGGTCAGATTTAACGAGTGTCGGGTTTAAATACGCTGAAAGCGCAATCTTTGTCTCAACCGCGAATTCCCTTGAGCAAGGAATTAAGCCAACGTTTTTAGGTGCAACCAGTTAAAAAAAGGGTAGTAAGTAGAGACTTGCAAATAACAAGGACAGCAAGATATTCTAGCGTGGTCCTACCAGAATGGACAAGGTACATGGTCATGCTGTTTGATACCTCCTCATGGGCTTGTTCCTCCACTTCGCCTTGGACCACCTGATAGCTCGCTATTCAGTGTAATAATCAACATAAGGTGTAACCTCGATTTCCTGTTCTTGTTAACCATGCATACGCCAATGCAAATGGACAAGTTCGTTCAGCGCTGAGACGGAAGCGCACACTTGTTGCGTTCAAAAAGTGTTATGGTCACTTCTTCACTCTGCGAGTCAGCCAATCGTACTACCAGAGTCTCCATCAGCAACTTCTTCGCAAATTCAAGCGTTTTCTTCTCAGTGATCAACCTGGACCGTGTATGTTCTATGAAAGTGCCTCACGGTGAAGCTGACGAGCTGACCAGTCGAAACCCTACTTCAAGACCGTTGTCCACGTCTGTCACACGCGGACATATGACTTTCGACGACGACGACGACAACGCGGTCAACAGCAGTGGTGCATGCTGTGTTATTGGACGCTGTCATTCATCAGCTACAGTAACCCAGGACGTGGCCGGAGCCGTCGTCGTCGACAAAAGAGAAACGATTCAATGACGGAGACCGCATACCACCGATGCGAAGAATGGGCCTAGTGCTCCTCGGACTAAGACTCGCTCTGCGATTGTTGAAAGGCAGCGGTAGCGGAACTCTTCTTACCGCACTGTCGTCACACTCATTCTCAAGAGCCGCCTTTTCTAAACACGCTGTCACGCAAGCCGAACAAAGAACGACCAGCAATCCGAAGAAGCGGTCGAAGCAGACGGCATCGATTTTACGACTTGTCGCCGTTGACGCTTTTGGTCGATGACAATCGTCGCGGGGAACACTGTAATTTCCTGTCAGAATCGCATGTGCCGTCGTGTCACCCGTCATTACGATGTTCGACAAGCAAAATTTGCTAAGCGATTACCGGCGCAGACAATGGTGCAGTAAGCACCTGCTTCTTGCTGGCTTAAGGAGGCCTTTCTCTTCCTTGACATACGTCAATGTTCCACGCGGCAGAACCGCTCGAGCCGATGATGCATGGAAAATTGCCTGTTGGTCAACTAATTAAGACGCGCTCTATTAATGACCAAAAATTAATGTCCATATGGTGGCTGATTAATAATACTTACCGTGAACCGGCATTAAGCTATCGCGCTCAATTGCCAATCGTCGTACTCTGGGCGACGACCAATAATTTTGTCTCCTACACAGAGGAAACCTGCATTTAACACCATTGCGGCATTTATTAGCTGTCCAATTTTTTCTTACGCGCTAATAGCGAACGAATCAATGAGTCTTTCATGTCCGTAAAGTCAATGTTCTCCATAAAATGATGGTGATAGTCCTCAATATGCCGGCCTGTTAAAGCTGTCGCACTGAAACAGCAATTTTTAACTATTTGCTCTCTCAGTGATCCTCTCAAAGTCAAAGATTATTGGCAACGCACCTCCACGCATTTCTTTCTTTTGAAAAATTCAAATTAGAAATTGTTTAGAACTTTATATCAAGATACCAAAATGAACACATGAAAAATATCAACGATTAATGGTAAAACCTTCACCAGACGAATTCGCTGAAAATGAAAAACTTTCCATAATGGCATATTTCATACACTAATTAAGTCAAGCCAGTCATGTCTGGTTTATTAGCTTGTGAGCTTGCGTAATAGCTGTTGTCATCGGCAAAGCGCATCCTTACGCACCCTTATTTAATGATCATAAGGCCATGAAATACGCACATACAGGTAGTTAATGGCAGGTTAGGATATACTATGCAAGTGGTCGCTCTTGCAGCACTGGCTGCCTCGAAGTACTTGCCGGGAAATGAAGAACAGACCGCTGATAGGGTGTTGTTCGAGCTGGGTACAGTATTGAACGGACTGCGAGTGGCATGATGCAGGGCCGTAGGGCGCTGAAACTTTGGGTATAAAGGGTGACTGTCATCAGCCAGCACACTCTAGCCCGAACGACCGGCTGCTGCAGCTGCTATTCTCGCCATGCGGTCGAAAATTTTTTCTGCACAGATTCTGCTAATCTTAAACCTAATGCGAATCGACACAGTAACCTGAAGTCTTTCTTCCTAAGGCCTGAGAATTTCACTGGGCTGAAATAAGTGATTAGAGATATGTTTCATCCAAAAACGAATAGGCGCACTGCTTCAGTAGGCAGTGAACAGGCAGCCTGATTAGTTCAATAGATAGGAAGATGACCTATGAACCTTTGCGAACACTGGAATCATATGGTCAGACCAGTTCAGTTTATTGTTAAGTATGATCCCTAGGTATTTCGTGGTGTCGCAGGCCGGAATTAACTCTCCTTCTAAGTTAACACGATGTTGAATAAAGGAGATTAGATTAGATGATGCGATTAGACGTTTTTCTCATGGCTAATTCTTAAATCATTCTTCCTGGTCCATATCTCAGTGTCTATCACTGCGTTTTGCAGGCAGCACAAATCCTGCTTCTTCGAATGGAGGAAATAAGGACTGTCGTAGGCGACAGGACTGGCGGTGCCTAACGCGCGCACGTTAAAGTTAAAGTGGAGGGGCGATAGCGCTGAACTTTCTGACACACAAACCTCATTCCTCCTGATCGACAATGACTACTTCCAACTGCGACGAACTGCTGTCGGTCAGAG